TGATTCCAGTCACTATGTTATGTTTTCACAATATGTTTTGGCAGTGTTCAAAGTCTTTTTCTTTTCCCCTAAAACTTTTCTTTGCCCCAATCTTTAGCATATTGATGGCTTCACACTCTCTTTGACTTCCAGTGATCATGGGTCAGATGTGAGCTTGCTGTGAGATTCATCTTTCTTGCCTGTTCAGCTTTTCCTGGTAGGTTCTTTCCAGGAACACCCTCTGCTCTTCAGTATTTTCTTTGACATCTTTGCAGCTGGTCTATAGCTATATTAGCCCCTACAGCCATATATTAATGACCTGAAATGTTCTTTAAGTATCTCAAAAATAAACCTGTCAGTTCATTCAGTGTGCCAAAGAGATGCTGGAAATATCTCAGCACCTTTTGGGCAGCTTCCTAAACTTTTTCTGGCTGTGTGCAAGCATCACAGGCACTTTGGGTGGAAAGGCCACTTGCTCAGCAGAAACATGAGCACTGAAATCTCCTGTCTCAGGTAAACTGAGAAATTAGGACAATTGCAAATGATAGAGGAGGTACTGGATAACTGATGCCCTTGACCAATTGTGACAATTTGAAGGAAGAGATTGCAGTGACCAAATGCTTTAGAGAGATGAGTTTGCTGCAGGGACATAGTGAGAGCAGCTGCCAAAGGATGAAGACCAGTTTTAGAGAATGGGAGGTGGAATGGAGAGAGGAGATGAAGATAGAAGGAAAATGGGATGTAAAATTCAGGGAAGGGACAGTTGAAGCGAAGGCTGACAGTGGGGGGGACCCGGCAGGAGACATGGGGATGACAGAGTGCCAGGGAAATCCTGCCAGCACACCCAAGGTCAGCCCAACCTACAGGCCAACTGCCAAGTGGATGGCAGCACATTGGAGGCAGGGCTATGGCCATGCAGGGTTTGAAGGAGGTACAGGTGCAGAATGGCAGAGAATGGCATGTCTGTGCAGTCCTTGTGTCCAGGAATAGGTTCTGGGACATAGAATGCAGAATTAGAAAACTTACAAAGAGGAGAATGAAAGCTTTTCTCTCTCCAAGCAGCCCTGGCACTGCTGGGCAGTGTGTTCATGCTGAGGGTTCACTTTGCCCTGCTCACTCCTGGGGAGAAAACTTGTGCTTGGAGTTCCAACTGTGTGCTGGTGTGTTTTGGCTTCCAGCTCCTTGTGTGACCTTGCACAAACCAATATAATCCAAAGCCTAGCTGTAGACAGCATCCACATCTTTCTGCTTACTTCTAGATCCAAAAAATGATCATTTAATGTTGGCTAATTTCAGTGCACAGTGAAATTCAATCCAAGGAGGTGGTCAGGAAGATAAATGCAGGTCTGGACATCTATTGGGGTTTCCAAATCCACCTGGAATAACAGGTTGTATTGACAGCAGTGAAGATCCTGGAGGTCTTCACAGATCCTCTGTCTCTTTTGGTCTCTGATATCATCAAACCTCAGCCCAGTCAGTGGCCTGAATCCTCCTCCTTGTAAAACAAGGTCATTATGCAAAGATTATGGGAGTTGAATACACTTGCTAGTAGCTTTGTGTTGTGGGGTTATGTTGAAGGGAAAAGATCTGTGACAAGTCCAGGAGGACCTTAACCTTCATCTGCACACACCTTACAGCTCTGTACTGTGCCATGCACAGAGCACATGGGTGGGGTTTATCTTCTAGAGGGGAGGAATTGCCAATGATGGGCATTTTCCTTAGAAGACAAACCTGTAGACTTGCTTGTGGTGGGGATGAGGGCTGGGGCAGGTGAAGCTGAGCACGTGTGCACTGTAACGTGGTGCTTAGCCCAGTGCCTGCACTCAGTGGACATGTGCTCTCTTGCAAATTGTGGCTTGCACAAGGCAACTCTTGTAGAGATCAGAAGCTGGAGCATGAATTGGGGGAAGCCTGACTGGAGGATGCCCCATGGGGGAGGCTGGGACCCTACCACATCCTCGTTACCGCTGACCTTGGCACGAGCACTGCCTGCTGATGGATCGGCTACGGAGCTGGACAAGACCCTGGGGAACCACTGTATTATCTATTATCGTCCCATCAGTGCCTCCCCTGACCCCTCCCAGCTCTGAATGCCACAGGCATCAGGGAGGGAATAAATCTCTGTCTGACGCTGAGAGAGAGAAGGGAGCGAGAGCAGGAAAAAGGAGAGATGAAAAATGTCCTTTTTATGACTCTCACAACAAAGCTGGCCACATGACTCGCAGCAAACATTACTCTGGGAAAAGGGAGGGAGACGACAGGGGGGAATCAGCAAAAAAGCAGAGCTGCTTCTCTCCCATGGAAGATGTCTATGGGGAATGAATAGAGGGGTATGGGTGACCTTTGAAGGTAAATATCCCAGGAAAGGGAACTCAAAGCTTCAGAAAGCTCACTCTGGTGCCTGGTGAAATGCTCCATGCAGCACACGTCCACTGTGAGCAGAAAGCAGAGGTGTAAGCGATCTGCTGTGCTAGAGGGAGCAGCAGGGCCAGGCTGTGATTAATAAGGCACTAATAGCAACCACAGCACTTGTGCTCATTTCTATTTGGGATGATCCAGGAGAGCTCATAGGTGTGAGCCTGGGGAGAACTCCTGACCTTGGTGTCTTTAGGAGACAGAAGTCTTTAGCAGCACAGCCCAGAGCCTGAGCAGGGGCTGGAGATAAGCTGCCAGGGCTTGAGAAGCCCCTGCATGTGACCCATTGACCACAGAAACCCTCCTGTGAGAGCTGCTGAGTTATTTGGGCATTATAGCCCCCTGTGCTGCTGTTCCCAGGGAGGCAGCCCAGCCTGAGGCTGTGTGCTGGCATCAGCTGCAATTTCCACTGTGCAGGAGAGCTGCAACAGGGCTGTGGGTGCAGACTGGGAGGGCTTTGCACGAGTGTTCTGGGGCTCCCCTGAGCACCACTGATATCAGGCAGGGTGTTTCCAGCTGCTTCATGCCATGGAAAGGCACCTTTGCTCTCTGGCCTACTTGGCTGTAGTCTGTGCTGTGCCTTGGGCTGGGGAATGACAGGCAGGCTCTGTTCTTGCTAAAAAACTTCGCTGTACCTGAGGTGTTTATCAAAGCTGTAATTTCTAACAGGCATGAATTTCCTGGAGTCCCGGAAAAAGACCTTATCCCACTGTTCTGTTCTGCCCCCAGACCAGCCTGTACCTTAGCTGGGAGTACCTTCCTAGTTAGCAGCACTAAGAACACAGTTGTACAGGGCTCAGAGTCCCAAAACAACTCAAATCTATGGACAACGGTAGTTTTTAGCAAGACAAGTCTTGCTGAACCTGGTGAGCTGTGACTAGGGACCAGCTTGGGCTCACCAAAGCTGGTATCTTTAACTTGTCAGTCATGGAAAAGTGTGTTAAATTCTCACTTTTACCAAAACGGCTGTAACAACTCCTTGATAATCCCAGTAATTTGATTTTGTCTATAACATGCTTTTAAAGTAAAAGGGATAAATACAATCAAGCTGCATAAAAGGTAGCTATTAAGGAGCAGGCAAGTTGTACAATAATAACTTTAAATTAAAAGCCCTTTCCCACTACTTCTGCTGTTGTGGGGTCTGCAGATTTTCCTTAAAACTTTTGAAAGATGCCCAGGCTGCTTACAGGCAGCCATTTAACCCCTGTTTATGAAGAAATAAAGCAAAATTGATGTTGATTTTGGTCTACATTGGGGGATACTTTTGAAACATAAAAGCCCTTTTGCCTGCAATTTGCAGAGCAGCCCTGTCACATCGGTGAGGGCTGATACTGATAAAGATAAAGCTTTATAGCTGGGGCATTTGCAGCTAACAGCAAGCTAATGCTACATTTTCATTTTGATGCAATTAATGTTAATGTCTGCTACGAAAATTGTCATTAAATACCATTTTAAAATCCATTCAATTTGCATATGCAAAGCCCATTTACTATCATGTAAAATACTTGGTGCCATTCATCATGTCTTTTCTCTAGAATTTGTAGCTGTTATTTTCCTGGTAGTGATTATTATCTAGCTCTTAAAATGAAACCTAATGTCTGGTCTAGGCCAGCACAGAGCATGAAAACCCTCTGCTCCAGCAGCAGCAGAGCTGCTTCAGAGGCTGTTTCAGAGGCTTTGAGCACTTTTTGTGTTGGAATCACACTGGCTCTTCCAGCCCACAGTGCTCTCCAGCTGCCCTTGTGCTCCTGAGGAAGAGAGGCAGTGGAAGGACCTCGAAGTCAGTCTAAGGTGCTGATGTTCTCCCCTGAAAACTCCCTATTGCACAGTTCTCTATGGGAAAGCAGCACAGCAGGCAGCTGGGAGATGGTACATGAGGGGGATGTTACAGGGGTCACTTCTAAATGCTGTACCTGTCTTAGCCTCAGGCAGGGCTCACCTATGCTGGAGGCTTTGTATAAATCTTTTGGAGGACTCTGTGAAGCCTTAAACATCCTGCTGCATTGCAAGGGATGGATGAATAGGCTTCTGCCCTTCTAGAGGGATTCCTGGGGGAGCAGCAGGTACCAGGTCCTCTCCAGGCTCCGGGAGGGAGCCCAAGAAAGCAGAAGAGAGCAGTGAAAAGCTTCTTTGCCTCTCTCCTTTTCTACCACCAGTTTCTACCCAATGCAGGGTGATGAACTAACAAGTGGGAGTCAGAGATAAAGAACTGATCCTTTACTACAGCAGAATATTTTAACCAGTGCAGACAGAAGTGCTATTGCTCTGATTTTTCAGACCCTGGGAGGTCATTATTCTGGTTTACAACTCTTCATGTTCCTTTAAGTTAAAGGGTTGTCATTAAACATATTTTTAAGAGGTTCCAAGCCCTTAATGCCACAGGTGAAATGGGGATGTATTGTGCATTTTATGTTAGATTTAGGTAGTTGGTTATCTGAGAGGTGTAATCAGACATGGAAGTGATGCTGTGACTCAGCTGCAGTATATCCAAGTTCAATACATTTCTGTTTTGGGGACTGTGCTAGCTGAGATGTGGGAGAGAGGTAGATGTGAGGGTAGGAAGTGATAATTTCCTTCTGAGAAAGAACTCAAGTCTTCTCCCTTACCTTGGGGGCATGCCAAAAGTCATGTCCATAGGTATTTTAGGAGGCCTTCTCCGGGAGTGTGTGGGTCCACCCTTGAGCCGAAGGTCCTTGAACTTGTAGTACATGTTATGTTCCCTGGCTGTGACACAACCTTCCTTCAGGGCACCTCGGTTCATGGTGATGAAGTCTCGCCCCATGATCCTGCGCTCTGTAAATCTGGGGTCTACTGTGTTCCAGTGGCCTATTGCTGGAGATGGAAGGAAATAGGAGAGGGGGAAAAGAAAAAGATGAGGCATTTCAGGTAACTCCTGTTTGGGAAAGCAAAGCTGATTGTGCACCATGACCAAGGTGTCTTCTCACCCTCCACTCTGGCTTGCTCAGCAAGTCTGATTTCTCAAGGGAATTGACCCTGAGAGCACAAAATAGGAGCTCTAACAAAGTGATGACCGTGGCCACGTGTATCACCCTTTACAGGTGCCATACCCCTCACTGCTTGGGTTCTGTGTGAGCCTCTGAAAGTTTCCAGTGTGATAGAGAAACTCTACTAGTCCTAGTCACCAAGCAATTTGGGTGATAATAATGAAAGTGGGTGAATTTTGGAGTTCTGCACCTCCAGCCTGATGAGAAGTATTGAAGAGGTCTGGGAAGGACAGTCGAGTGCCTGCTAGCACTAGGACTTTGTTGTAGGTCTCTATTTTAGTGGCAGTGTCATACCTTCAGCAACTCCTTCTGTCCTGGGGATGTACAGCCCATATGTAAAATCAAAGCCTGGCAGGCTGTAGCAGTTTCTTTGGGGCTTCCCCACTTCTTCCTGCAGAAAAGTAAAGTGAAAGGAGAAGCATAAAGACCTTTTCTGATAAGCTAAAGCCCCTCTGAAAATAAAAATTTGTAGCAGACCATGGCCACAAGTACCAGGAGTGGCTGTGGCTTCATTTGGCAGGGTTGGAATCCCACTACACAAGCAAAAGTGCAGAAGAGAGCTGAAGCCTAAAGGATGCTGAATTTCACATAACTTTGTACTTGAGTTATAAAGTGACCTAGCCTTGCTGGAAATGGGGATCCTGACTCAATATCTATGGACTTGAAGTCTTCTTGCTTGGTTAAACTCTCCTTTGGCTGGGATGTCCAGCTGTGGTGTCTGCTGGGGAGACTGTAGATAGTCTTGTCTTTACTTTGAGTTATTTCATTTCCAAGTGTGCATCCTCCTAGAAAACTGACGTAAACTTCCCCAGGCACAATCACATGGTTGTTCCTGCCTGGGAATAATCAAGACACAAGGCATATTGCAGGGGGAGGATAAGGGGAATGGAGAAGGGGGAGCAGAGCCTGGGGTTTAGAGCACAGAGGAGAACTTGAGCTCAATAACCTCATTTCTATTTAGTTTTGAAATGAACTCTTCCCCAGCCCATGTGTGTCCCAGCCTGGTGGTGTCTGTGGGATTAACTGACCTCCCCTCACCCCTTTGTTTCTACCCTCCCATCTCCATGGTGAAGGCACTGCAGGATGTGTGTGTCTTGAAACCTTATTGCTGCTTGAAAGGGAGTCTGTGGAGGAGGGAAAGGGTGAGAGCCTGGCAGCTTGGGTCTGTGTGTTCCTGCTAGGGAAAGCTGGAGCAGGATCAGGCAACAAGTCCCCAGGAGCTCTGAAAGTGTGGTGTGGGTGCCTTGGGACAGGTCATTTTCCATGGGAAGGGTGTTAGAGGAGCTGGGATGTTGTAGGTGTTGGAAGGTCTTGTTGGGAGAGTGAAAGTGCTGAAATAATACTCTAGTGCTTCTCATGGGTGAATCATTGAACACTAACATTGAGATGACCATTACTACACTCCAGAGTGAACGGTCTCTGGATCAGGAGATGCTGAATCAAATGCAGCCCTTTCTGCAGAGACCAAGTGAAAGACTGGAGAACAACTCACTCTTTCTTGAGGAAAGAGTCGGACTGCAAAGGAGCCGGACCCATGCCCACCCTGCCACTGTGGCAGGCTAAGGCTGTACAGCAGTTCATAAGGGACACAGCTTATTGCAGCTGCTTGTACAGGAACACCATCCAATCCCAAATTTGTGTTCTGCTTCCAGTCAGCACTCTGCAGATCCTGCCAGGCTGGCTGTCAGCTTTGCCAGTTTGGGATCACTGGGCCTGCATGCCTGTGCAGTGATTCTTTCAGGTAAATCCAGGGTCTTACTTCTCAGATCTGGGAAGGAGGTGCTTCCTCTTGTTCCTGTTAAATCCACACACTTGTGACACTATTAAGCAGGTGTGGTATTCCCATGACTTCCAGGGGCACAAGTTCACCAGAAAATGAATTTTTCGACTTGCTAAAATCCTTTGATAGGCTCAAAATCCCCATTGACTCCTTGCCCTGTGCAAAACTACATATCCTTTGTTGCAAACAGACCTTTCCGAACACCATCGACTCAGCTACTTGATGCAACCTGTGCAGAACGTGGCTGCATTCCCCCAGCTGCCTCCTGTGAGCCTCTAGCAGGGAAAGGGACTGTCCCTTGCAGATGTGTCCAGCACTGAGCACGAGGGGAGTGAGTGGGCTTTTAGTGCTCCCACGCCGGCGATGCCACCCGGCAGTGCTGAGCCATATGTGCACACTGCGTGTGAGTCGGGAGCTCACGCAAACCGCTGCCAGGGATGATGAAGTGGCTTTCATTGCTGATCTATTTCTCCTGTATTTACAGCTATTTTTAGATTAGTTGTCACTGGTATACAGGGGAAATGGTGTAATGTTCCTCAGATACACGAGAAAAGGCTTTTTCCAGGGATCGTGTTCTGATATCGGAGCAGTTAAGTGAGGTCAGAAATTTGCTATGGTGGCAAAGGTGTGGCAGATGGGAGGAAATTGCTGAGAAACTGCAGGAAAGGACAGAGGTTTATAACCTGTGGCAAAGCTGCATCCAGACTCTCAAATGCAGAACTCTAGAATGGAAGAAATTGCAGGATTCAGAGTCTCTTTTGCAGAGCACCTGAAGTTAGCACAGTGGGGTGTTTACTCCATCACAAAATGAGTGCACGCTGTTTCCTTTTATGATCGGGTGGCATTTTACAGTCACTTTGCACTGAATAAATAAAGCTGAAGGTGCTGGATAATTAATTAAAAAAAAATCTGGTCCAATATGTTGAACATGAAGAGAATCTGTGCCTGAAGAAAAATCAACAAACTCAGAGGACTCTGGTTGCCTGCCAACATCTTTTACC